TCAATCCTCTGCTCCCTTTTTTTCCTTTTTCTCTTGTTACATGCTAATTACCGACGATCCAAATGGCGAATATAGGCTGCGCTCTATTAATTTTGGGGTGGAGAAGCTTCTCTCTAAATGCAAAATCTGGCTTTCAGTTTTGGCATTATCTAAGGACACTGCATTGCCGAAACTAGGACTGACTGACCTTATTCAGATGTGGAGTTTTGGTCTCGAGCATGGTTAGAATCTTGCGAGAAATCTCTTTTTAGTTGTTAATTTTAGCTTACTTTTCTAAAATCATGATTCATTTGGTGACACTTACAGCTGGAGAATTTGTGCCAGATCTCTCTGTGGCCTATCTTTCAAAGAAATTCGTATGTACCACTTACTCTTCCAATTTATCCTTCCTAGTAGCATTAAACATCCTCACCTGACTGTAGACAGGTAAGTTTGTACCCATTGTCTATCTTATCAGTGCAAACATACCCAATATTCTCACCTTTGGCTAAAACTCTGACAGTGAGATGCATCTTGCTGATGCACTTCTTATTTGGCTTGATGCCGGCAGAAGAATGTCGGACTTTTCAGAGAGTAGTAGTAGTCAGGATAACACAATCAACTTGATGGAACAGCTAACGTTTAGAAGGTCTGTCACCTATGCAGAGATTACTTTTTCTGAGACCTTTAGGACAAAACTAGTATATACATTTTTTGCTTTATGGAACTCTGGTCCTCGCTTTAAAAAGCAGATGATTTTGAGTTTGAGGTTAGATTTTTGTATCAATCCTCGGTTCTCTTTTTAATATTTTCGCTTGTTACATACTAATTATTGAATTCTGAATGGTGAGTATAGGCTGCGCTTTATTTTGGGGTGGCGAGGCTTCTCTCTAAATGCAAAAGCTGGCTTTCAGTTTTGGCATCATCGAATGACACCGCATTACCGAAACTAGAATTGTCTGACCTTATTCAGATTTGGAGTTTTGGTCTCGAGCATGGTTAGAATCTTGCGCGAAATCTCTTATTAGTTGTTAAATTAGATCTTGCGAAAAATTTCGTA